ATGTGAGTAAATGAAAATAGTGCAATATTACAGTAAGAGGGAAGGATCGATAACCCATATTACGGAGGTAAACATAACAGATTGTCAGGGGGGTATCCCCTGGCACGATGTATGGACCAGTGTGAAAGAGCTCCGCACAACCAAGATGGTAAACTGTAGTTGAGGAGAAAGAGAGGGAAAAAAAAAGGGGGGGGGGAGGAAAAACAGAAGGAAAAAGAAAAGAAGGGGTTAGTGGGAAAGGGTATTGAAGGAGAAGAAAGAAAAAAGAAGGGGATGGGGAACGGAGATGGCAGTAAGCAGCAATGGGATAGCTGCCCACGGGTCTCTCATGGAAGCAACCCTGCGCACACAGCACAGCGTGCGCCACAGGGTCCAACCAGCGGATAAGCCAAAATGAGATCGAGTCTGGTGGACCAGGCATAACTCCACTAGAGTGCAGCAGGGGCGCACATATCACGGAGAGATGTAGAGGAGGAGAAATGAAGCCAGACCAACCACAACAGCTTATGTTTATCATAGGTATCATTAGTAAACGCCAGCATTTCCTCCATACGCATGGAATCATTAAGCATGGAGACCCACATTGGGAGGGGGGGGGGCAGCCGATTTCCAAAAGAGAGGTATTAATTGGCGGGTTGCAGACAGGAAGAAACGCAACAGACTTTTCTTCTGTGATGCCCGTGAGCCTGGTAATATAGAAACAAGTGCAATTTCCGGTGAAGGGGCCAAAGACTCCCCATAGACCTCGTTATATACAGCAAAGACCTGCTGCCAAAAGGGTTGTATTAGATCACAATCCCACCAAATGTGGAGTTGTGTACCAACAGCTCTATCGCAGCACCAACAAAGATCAGGTGTCGAAGGAAAAATTTTGTGTAGGGAGAGGGGATCCCTGTACCATCTGGAAAGGAGCTTAAAATTCTTTTCTTGTGAGTAGCAAGAAATAAACAATTTATGAGTAAAGTGGAATGACGTGGACCATTCCTTCTCCGACACCTCCCTACCTAGGTCTTGAGCCCAAGCCTTAGTGTAGGAAGGGAGTTCAGAATAAAGAGCATTATGGAGCACTTTATAGAGAGAGGCAAGGACATGTCTTGGCAGTTCAGGGAGGGAGCACAGCCGTTCAATCTTAGAAAGCGGACGATGGATGTTGGAGGAAGAGTGTAAGTGTTTGCAAAATGAGGATAGGTCTAGAGTGGTCAGCCAGTCCCTAGACCCACCTTGAAGGAGCGAAAGACCTGATTGGGGGCACGCGTAAAGGGTCCAATAATAGAGGAGCTCAACCCTTGGGGAAGAGTGGGGTTATCAAATAAGGATGATAAAGGAGATGGATTGGAAGATAAGATAGCGACTATGTCTCGTTATACCACAGCCATAGCACAGCTAAGGTCAAGGGAGACAAGGCAGAAAAACACTGATAGTCCCGATCGTACCCCCATGGCAATGCCCGAAGATCCACCTGAGAAAGATCTTGTTCAATCATACAAAAGGCTTTATAAAAAGGTCTACGAAACCAATCCAGCATCCGGGCCAGCAACGCAGCTCTGTAATAAAGCTCAAAGTCTGATAAACCCACTCCACCCTCAAGTTTTGTGTAAGTAAGTAACCTGTGCTTTAACCTAGAAAACCCATGGTGCCAAATAAATTGAATCAAAAGGGAGTGTAAAGAGAGGAAAAAACTCTTAGGGACAGTGATCGTATCGTCTGAAAAAAACGTATAATAGCTTAGGTAAAGTATCCATCTTGAGGGTGTTGATACGGCCGAACCAGGGAAGGGCTGAAGTGCCCAATGTAGCCAAATCTTTTAGAATGCGTGAAAGTAAAGGTAAATAATTAAGAGAATATAAAGCATTAAGATCAGCCAAAATCAGGACCCCCAGATATGTGATGGCCTTAGGTCGCCATTGAAAAAAAAAATTAGGCCGAAGGTTCGCCAGTACATGGGCAAGTAGGGAAATATTGAGGGCCTCCGTTTTAGAGATACTAAGTTTAAAGTTACTGAAGGAACCAAATCTATGGAATTCGTGGAAAAGATTGGGGAGGGAGACAAGTGGTTGTTGAATGTAAACTAGCAGGTCGTCGGCGTATAAGGATAATTTGTGGTGCGCGGAGGGAGTATGTATGCCCAGTATTGAGTTGGTAGCTTGTATGGCTCGCGCAAGATGTTCCATTACAAAGAGAAGAGGCGAGAGGGGACATCCTTGTCTGGTCCCATTCGATATGGGAAAGGACAAGGAAATCGTACCATTAACCAGGACAGACGCTGAGGGGCGAGAGTAGAGGGACATAATCCGAGCAAGGGTCCGTGACCCCAAACCAATCTGCTCCACCGTAAGGCGGAGAAAGCGCCAGTCGACGCGATCGAATGCTTTCTCAGCATCAAATGAGAGTAGGCAAGCCTTTAAACCGTGCTGTTTGATGTAAAGATAAGATGGATTGTTTTGGAAGTATTATCCCGTGCTTCGCGACCCTGAACAAAGCCGACCTGGTCGTGATGGATCAAGGTTGGTAGAAAAGGGGGAAAGACGATTCGCTAAAAGTTTAGCAAAAAGCTTAATGTCCAGGTTAAGTAGAGAAATCAGGCGATAGCTACTGCAATGAGAAGGGTCTTTACCCAGCTTAGGGATAACTGAAATGGTAGCGGACAAATAGGCTGATGAAGGCACATTCAAATCGTCAATGATATGAAACTCTCAGGCCAGAAGCGGAGCCAATTAGGGCGGCAAATGTTTTGTAAAAGTAAGGGGTGAAGCCGTCTGGACCTGGGCACTTACCAGTTTTCAGGTCCCTAATTGCCCCAAGAACTTCTATAACCGAGAAGGGCTCCTCTAGATCCAAAGCGTCTTGTGCATCAAGGACAGGTAACGCCGTCTCCACAATATATTGGGACATAGGGAGGAAATGGGGGGGATATCAGGATTTGCCGAGGAGAGATTATACAGTTGAGAATAATAGCACTCAAACGCAGAATAGATTTCCTTATTGTGGTAGAGTTTAGAATTATCAGTCGTCTTGATATATTAAAGCGGACGATGGGATGGGCGGGGATGTAGTACACCCGCCAAGTGTTGGCCACATTTGTTAGCTAAAAGTAATGGGTGTTGTGTGCTTTGTCACGCGCAATAAGGGAGGAGGAATCTAAAAGTTGGAATAGATCTCTGCGAGCGTTGGATAGGTCTAATGCAAGCACTGGGTCTAACGTACCTTTGTGGGACAGTTCCAAACATGCAATAAGCGAAAATAATCGACGCATCTCCGTCGTACGGGCCTTTTTTAGGTGAGAGCCATGTTTAATGAGAACCCCTCTTAAGAACACATTTTAGGGTCTCCCATTAAGTAAGAGGGCCAGTAGTGTCCACTGTGTGATACAAAATAAAGACCTGGATAGGCTTCTCTATCTCCACGATACAGAGAGAATCTTAGAGTAGGCTGTCGTTCAGGCGCCACGAAAAACGATGTACAGACGATGGCCTGTCTTGAATCGTAGGATGGATTGGAGCATGGTCTGACCACAAGAAGTGACCGAGAGAGGATGAAGTCAGGCAATCCAGCAAAGACTATGAGACAAAGAAATAGTCTATACAACTGTATGATGCATGAGCTGCACAATAATAGCTATAGTCTCGCTCCGAAGGATGTTGGATACACCAAACATCAAATAGGTGTAAGTGTCAGGAATGGACTTGCCAGTGGTGGTGGGACTCACCTGCCTTGTGAGCTGCAGTACCAGGGCTGGCCAGCGGGTGCTCTCAGCAACCACAGGCTCACTCCTGCAATGAGCCATCACCTGAGGCTGATTACAGCAGGTGTATTTAGGGAATGGCCAGGCCTGTGATCAGGGCCTTGGTGTATGTTTCCCATGAGCCCCTGTACCTGCATCCTGTCTGCTTCCTGCCTGATCCTGATTCTGCTTTAATCCTGACTCTGCATGAACTCTGCCTGTCCTGACCTCGGCTATTCCTGACTACGCTTCCGCCTGCTCCTTGTACCTTGCCTGCCCGTTTGCTACCGACCCGGCCTGCCCGACTACGTTTAGTATTGTTCTTATTGTTATCTGTTGGAGGTTTGGTTGCACTGTGTTTATGTTTAGTCTTGCACTGCGTTTATGTATTGTTTAGTCTTTAATAAATTGTATTGTTTATACTATACCTGGAGCCTGTGTTTCCCTGTGTCAGTCCACACATTTCTGGTCATACCTGGATCCCTAACAGAACACCAAGGCCATTCTGCCAGAAGTGGCTGCACAGGGAAGCCATCTTGACTTATTGTTGCTGGGAAGGATGGATCTTGATGAGGTGGTGTATTTGTCTCTGCTAGTCTTTGATGACAGAGATTATGCTTATCAGACTCTGAAGGAGTATACCAGGGATCAACTACTAGAATGCATAAGGATCGCTCATTGCCTAGTAGATCAGGGCACAGAGTTCTCTGAGGTGAAACCATTGATTCAGGTTTGTGCAGAGTTGGCTTCATCTGGTACCCCCGAATGCAAGGATGAATTTTTGCCACCATTTAGTGCCGACCAGGTAGAGTCCCTGGTGTGGTTATTGGAGGATGATGTGGATTAATTCTTGGAGCGTTATTCTGCATGTTCACAACAGGTGCTAAGAGATTGTATAAGCGCAGTGCTGTCTTTGACCAGACAGGCTTTGTGTAAGCTGAGCTTTGTTCAACCCATACTGCAGACATGGTCAGACTTGTTGCACCCAGCCTCAGTCAGCTTGCAAACGTCATTCCTCTGCTCAAGGCACTCTTCCTGCATCCCCGACAGCACCCCCAGTGACGGCCCAGTATACTCTGCTAACTACCACATATCAGTCCCCTGCTCCCACTCGCTGCACCTATCCTATCTTTAACCCTGTAAAGAAGTCCTCTGTAGCAACTGCTCCCTCCTTTGTTCCATCCCTCAGCTCTTCTCTGCCTACAGCTGCTCTATCCACTTACAAACTTGAGCTTACTTCCTGCGCTCCAGTAACTGAAACCAGGAAAAAGCGAAAATTCTTTCCAACCAGTACCATCCTGCCAGTATCCAAACCGGTCAGCCTGCCGTCTGAGAACCCGCCTTCCGTGGTTCAGCCTGATACCCTGATGCCCGATGACCCAGTGTACCCTACCCAGCTTGATGTGTCTACCCAGCCTGATGGTCCTATTATGCCATATGACTCGGTGCCCGCTGTCGAGCCAGACGATCCAATGCCTAATGACCCGGTGCCCACTGTCAAGCCAGATGACCCGATGCCTGGTGACCCGATGCCCGCTGTCGAGCTAGATGACCCGGTGCCCACTGTCGAACCAGATGACCCGGCATCCGCTGTCGAGCCAGATGACCTGATGCCAGATGACCCGATGCCCGCTGTCGAGCCAGACGATCCAATGCCTGATGACCCGGTGCCCGCTGTCGAACCAGATGACCCGGCACCCGCTGTCGAGCCAGATGACCTGATGCCAGATGACCCGATGCCTGCTGTCGAGCCAGATGACCCGGTACCAACTGTCGAGCCAGATGACCCGATGCCTGATGACCTGGTGCCCGCTGTCGTGCCTGGGGACCCGATGCCCGCTGTCGAGCCAGATGACCCCGTGCCCGCTGTCAAACCAGACGATCCAATGCCTGATGACCCGGTGCCCGTTGACTCGGAGCCCGCTGTCGTGCCAGGTGACTCGGTGCCCGCTGTCTTGCCAGATGACTCGGTGCCCGCTGTCTTGCCAGATGACTCAGAGCCCGCTGTCCTGCCAGTTGACTCGGTGCCCGCTGTCGTGTCAGTTGACCCGGAGCCCACTGTCTTGCCAGATGACTCGGTGCCCACGGTCTTGCCAGATGACTCGGTGCCCACGGTCTTGCCAGATGACTCGGTGCCCACGGTCTTGCCAGATGACTCGGTGCCCGCTGTCTTGCCAGATGACTCGGTGCCCGCTGTCATGCCATATGACTCGGTACCCGCTGTTTCTGCCAGATGACTCTGTGCCCGCTGTCAAGCTTGGTGACCCGGTGCCCGTGGTTCTGCAAGATGGCTTGGTGCTAGCTGTCGTGCCAGATGGCTTGGTACCCGTTGTTGTGCCAGATGACTCGGTGCCCACTGTCGAGCTTGGTGACCCAGTGCCCGCTGTCGTGCCAGATGACTCGGTGCACGTTGTCGTGCCAGATGACTCGGTGCCCGCTGTCATGCCAGATGACTCGGTGCTCGCTGTCGAGCTTGGTGACCCAGTGCCCGCGGTTCTGCCAGATGACTCGGTGCTCGCTGTCGAGCTTGGTGACCCAGTGCCCGCGGTTCTGCCAGATGACTCGGTGCCCACTGCTCCGCCTGATGGCCTGGTGCCCGCTGCTCTGCCTGATGGTCTGGTGCCTGCTGCTCCGCCTGATGGCCCGGTACCCGCTGCCTTGCCTGCTGCTCCACCTGATGGCCCGGTGCCCGCTGCTCCACCTGATGGCCCGGTGCCCGCTGCTCCGCCTGATGGCCCGCTGCTCCGCCTGATGGCCCGGTGCCCGCTGCTCCGCCTGATGGCCCGGTGCCCGCTGCACCGCCTGATGGCCTGGTACCCCCGCTGCTCCGCCTGATGGCCCAGTGCCCGCTGCCTTGCCTGCTGCTCCACCTGATGGCCCGGTACCCGCTGCTCCGCCTGATGGCCCGCTGCCTTGCCTGCTGCTCCGCCTGATGGCCCGGTGCCCGCTGCTCTGCCTGATGGCCTGGTGCCCCGCTGCCTTGCCTGCTGCTCCACCTGATGGCCCGCTGCTTCGCCTGATGGCCCGGTGCCCGCTGCTCTGCCTGCTGTCCCGCCTGACGTGCCTCTGCCTGCTGTCCAGCCTGATGTGCCTCTGCCTGCTGTCCACCCTAACGTGTCTCTGCCTGCTGTCCCGCCTGACGTGCCTCTGCCTGCTTCCCAGCCTGACGTGCCTCTGCCTGCTGCCCAGCCTGACGTACCAGCTCCTGATGCCCAGCCTGCTTCTGGAAATCCTGTGTCCAGCAATCTGCCTTCCTGCAGTCTCCTACAAAAAGATAGGCCTATCAGCAGGAGACCCAGTCAATCGCTTGATTCCGGCAGTGGGATGTCCAGCCAGTTGCTGGACCCAGGCGGTGGAACATTTGGGCCATTACGGACTGTTTGGAGCATCCTGAGGCCGCTCCTTGAGGGGGGGTACTGTCAGGAATGGACTTGCCAGTGGTGGTGGGACTCACCTGCCTTGTGGGCTGCAGTACCAGGGCTGGCCAGCGGATGCTCTCAGCAACCACAGGCTCACTCCTGCAATGAGCCATCACCTGAGGCTGATTACAGCAGGTGTATTTAAGGAATGGCCAGGCCTGTGATCAGGGCCTTGGTGTATGTTTCCCATGAGCCCCTGTACCTGCATCCTGTCTGCTTCCTGCCTGATCCTGATTCTGCTTTAATCCTGACTCTGCATGAACTCTGCCTGTCCTGACCTCGGCTATTCCTGACTACGCTTCCGCCTGCTCCGTGTACCTTGCCTGCCCGTTTGATACCGACCCGGCCTGCCTGACTACATTTAGTATTGTTCTTATTGTTATCTGTTGGAGGTTTGGTTGCACTGTGTTTGTTTAGTCTTGCACTGTGTTTATGTATTGTTTAGTCTTTAATAAATTGTATTGTTTATACTATACCTGGAGCCTGTGTTTCCCTGTGTCACTCCACACATTTCTGGTCATACCCGGATCCCTAACAGTAAGTCATGCAAGCGCGACTTAAGTTGAGATAAGGTCGAGAAAGAAAGAGAAGACTTACCAACTGAAGTGTCCAAATCTGGTGAGAGAGCTAGATGTCTGCCACTGTAAAAACGAAATCTTGGTATTTCAATTTAAGGAAGAGGTAACGACCAGTTGGATCAATTAGGGAGTTCAAGACCTCTGGGCCGAATGTATGATGAAAGGCTACCGCACCCTCCTAGACCTAGTCTGTGGATTAGTACTATGATACCACTGATTATAGTAACGATTGTGGAGGACTGGAATACCATCAGAGCGAAAATGAGTCTCCTGGAGTAGTAAGATCTGTTTGCCACATTTATGGAAATGGTAGAGCATCTTGCTCCACTTCTCCAGAGTGTTAAAGCCCCTACAATTAATAGAAGAAAATTTTATCAGAGTCATATTTGGTAGTGGGGGAACATATTTGTAAAAAGTGTGATCGCCCCCAACTCCAAAGAAGAAGAAAAAAAAAGGGGGGAGAAGTCAAGAGAAGAAGAACAGATAAAAAGAGAAAAAAGGAGAAGGAGAAGGAAAAAACTACTAGACAGGCGAGCTGTCAAAATAACATACAGTTTAATACTACGCAGTACACTGAAGGCCTAGGTGGGGAACGTCAAAGGCGCATGTATCTGATCCCAGCCCAGGCCTCCCACAGGCAAATGGTAACTTGAGGAACGTCACCCACAAATAAGGGCGACCGCCTCTACAAAACGTATTCAATAATCCCTCAAACGGCATGAGAAAAAAGCCCCCCCCCAACAAATAAAAATGAACAAAATATGGTAAAGACGGGGTGTGGATAAAACAGACAAGGAAGGGCCAAAAGCCCCTAAGGCTAGGGCCACAGGCGTCCCCGCCCATCACGGCAAAACTGCAGTGGCGATACCCAAGGATTAGCCACAGGCCACAGCCTCAGAACCTAACAAAAAAAAAGGAAAACCAACAGGCACAAATAAAAGGCACAAACACAAGGTACTGAACCAACAGAGGTAACCCTCAGAATGTGTGGGAACTGTAGAAAGAGGAGTAAAGGGAGAGGCCTCCCAATTCACGTAGATAAGGGGGTCATCCCTCCGGGATCTATTGAGAGGAGGATCTGGAAAGCTTCTTCTTCTTGCAATCGGACCACTGCCAGGAAGAGGGAAAAGGGAGGCCTGGGGTCGGAAGTTGAAGGGGCCAGTCCGGGAGGGACACCTGGGGCACCTCAAACACACCTAGAAATGCAGGCAGGTCCCCGAGGGTGTGGAAATGGGCAGATTCACCATTCAGTGAGGAGTGAAGCTGAAACGGGAACTGCCCTGCTAGCGGATATTAGTATTATTATTATTATACAGTATTTATATAGCGCCAACAGTTTGCTCAGTGCTGTATGCCTCTTTTACCAGCTGAAGTGTCCAAAGCTCGAGAGAGAGAGCTACATTGAAGTCCCCTCTGACAATGCCTCTCTTGCAGCATCTGAGTGAGAGGGAGCAGAGCCCTGCGCATAGCTAGAGTCTGGCAGGAAAGATCAGGGAGGAGCATCACTGGCACTTTGTTGAATAGGATGGTGCCCTGCGTGCTGGCCGCATGCATAATGGCGTCCTTGACCTTAAAATAATGGACCCTGCATAGAGTGTCACGTACAAGGGATGGATCAGGATTTCTTGGGCCCATCGTGTGATGTATGCGGTCCAACTCAATGTAAGTGTCTTTAGGTTGCTGGAGTAGTTGATTGAAGATGGCGGTAGCTGCCGCGGCCAAATCTTTAGGTTCAATGGATTCGGGTATACCCCTGATATGGATATTGTTACTGCGGTTCCTATTCTCAATGTCATCTTGTTGGTACATGAGCTCTTGTATAAGAACTGTATGGGAGTTAAGGGTCTCTTCGTGGGTTTGTAAAGCGTTACACAGACCATCAGCGGTGTTTTCAATCCCTTCCATACGCACACAAATATCTTGTTTAAGATCAGAAATGTCCTGTTTGTATGTGTTTTCAATACATTTTACACATTGTTCAAAATCAGCCTTTGTAGGAAGGGATGTGATGTACAGTAGGTGTGCAGGGATTTCATGTGGGACTGCAGATCCCAGCCATCCTCAGAGCAGAGAGATGCTGGGGAGGGAGTGTGGGATCTCTGTGTGCCCTGGGCCTGATGAGCTTTTTGGGAAGAGTCCCCAGGAGGAGAGAGAGAGAGAGAGAGCCCCAAGGGCTTACCTGCCCTTCATATGCCTGCTGTCCTGTATCCACGGGGGACGAGGAGGGAAGAGGTGCCCGCGCCATCTTGACGGCCGGGGAGCCTGAGGCCTCGGCCACGGATGGAGTGATGGACCGGTTCATACTGCCACCGGACCCGCTCCCCGTTGCTCTCTGGGGAGTCCAGAGATGGTTCTTCCCCATGTGGGATGTAAACAGAAGCCTGTGAGGGAGAGAGAAGTGCCTGTTATGAAGGATCAGGTCGGGAGCTCAGCAGGGACATTGCTACTGCTCCATGCACCAGGCCATGCCCCCCCGTTACTGTTTATTTAAAACATACCTTCCAATATGTTGCTAGGACCCTGGAGTATTTTTTTTAAATGTGCTTCTGGCTATATGCTAGTCTTTTAACATACACTATTAGAAGCCATATTTTGCTATATTTGTCAATGTCAACATAGATCTTTTTTGAGTGGATGTTGTAGTATATGGCACTAAAAATGGATATTTCAACTTTTTAAGTAGTAGAAGCTCCCTGTCCTAAATTAAAGTTCTGTGCCATAGGTTCTTTCTGTTGTAGTATAATGATGGCTATAAGCTACCAATATGTGATATATTGCTATATTCTAAGGTAGCAAACTGCAGA